ATAAAAAGTGATTTCCACTTTAATTAAAGATTATAACCACCAAGTCGAGATGTGAAAATTGAAACTTACTCATTTAGGATCTCAAATTTTGTAATTTAAAAAAGTTTGAATTTAAAAATCTAATTTTCATATATAATATTTAATTTTTTACATAAAAGTGCAAAATTAAACTCTCTTTTTTTTATAAAGAGTTCAATACAAGTATAATATTCAACTGATTCTTTTAATCTGTATCAACATAGCTTAATAATATTTTTTAAATATTAATTATTATTAAAAAATAAAATTTAATATTTATTTAATCAACCACCTAATTAAATAATGCATGTAATATTAATAATAAAATTAATATTAATTTTTGTTATTTTTTATACTAATTAATATAAATTTATATATTAATTATATCTTTAATCTATGACCTAATGATACAAATTAAATAAATCCATATATAAATTATACTTATTACAATTATCTTCACTTAAGCATAATATAAAAATTTTTTAAAAAAATTGAAAAATTAAACCTGTTATATACAAAAATCGAACCCATAACTCTAAGATTATGAAGTCTCAATCTTTGTAATCGAACAAAAGATGTCATTGGTACTATAAAAAGTAAACTTGAATTTTAGGAAATGCTTGATGTGCATTAACCTACTTTAAACTCAAAATTAAAAATTGAACTAAGAGACATAAGTGGAAAGTCACGAGATTAATTTTGATAAATAAGTCAAAAGTCACGGGATTGGTTTTAGTATTAAGTCCAAAGGCGATCGTCGTTTAATTGACTAGCATTTTATGGACCAAGAGTTTGAAATGTCCCACGTACACTGTACATAACGTGTCTCTGCGGGGGAAAGTAGACAGAAAGGAAAGGGAAGAAAAAATAGAAAGAACAAATAATTGGTTGTTATCATTTTTACCCGAATGGAAGAACATATGCTTTTATAATTTACAAACGAAGAAAAAGAGGGTTTAGTTAAAAAAAAAGAAAAAGAGAAAGTTGAAGTAATTCTCTTGGGAAACTCAAGGTTGGAGAATCTCTTCCTGCTCTGTTTCTTGTTTTCAAGAGACTTGTTTTCAAGAGAGGGAAAATCTAACAATGACACAATAATTTAAGTAGAAAGAACTTGATTTTTTTTAAATAAAATTTTTAATTTGAATCTTATGAATGGAGAAATAAAAATTTGAAAAATTTTTCTTTTATGGAGTTTGATGCGATTCAATTTTAAATTAATCGAAATTCAATATAATTATTAGATATCGTCATCAATTATATGTTTATGTCTAAAATTAAAGAGAGATTCTCTAAATTTTATCAATAACTTTTTTTTTTTACAAAAGAGAGTTAACTATGATAATATGAGTAATTGTCTCAATCCATGATATGGTGAAGGACTTAATCCAGAACCTAGCAGCTTTTATAATTCACGAAGGGAGAAAAGAGGGGTTAGGGAAAAAAAGAACAAGAGAAAGTTGGAGTAATTAATTAGGCATCATAGGTGATACATGATGTAAAGATTAAATTAGCATTAAAATTGTTCATGAAAAAAAATATAGCATTAAAATTTATAGATTGCAGAAACGTTGATTTTTCTTGGAAGCCTTGAGCTGGCTTCTGTTTGCTCAAAAAATTGTCCCTTGGGTTGAGGCATGAGTTACGCTAGATATTCAAACTCATTTTTGACTTTAGAAAACTGTTTGTTTGTTTGTTTGTTTTTTTTTTTGAATGGAGACTTTATAAAACTTTTAGATATTGCTATCCACTTGCTGCGCATTTTAGTTAAAAATTTATAGAATTTCTCAAAATTTTATAATTACTGTATTTTTCATTTATTTTCCCATTAAACACCCTCTTGTATATGGTAATAACATTTTCATTTTAAGAAAGAAAACGATTTGAGAGATATTTTTTATACAAAAATTTCATATATAATTTTACATATTATTTAATAATTGAATCCTTTTATTTTATTATCATTAATAATATTATATACATTTACTTATTTAATATATGTTGTAATTAATAATAAAAATTTTATACATTGTATGAATCAATATGTGAGAAATGATTTATTAAAGTAATCTAAACAAGAGAATAAAAGTGA